GCGCACTAAAAAAGATAACAGAACATTTGGTTAAGCGTACATCATAGGCAGTGAGTCTTGGAGAATTATCTCCAACAAGAATCTGCTACAGATTTAAGCATGATTCGTTTACAAGAGGAGTCTCTTTTAACTATGTTCCCCTTGATTGTTTTCATCTTGGAGTCCCAGAGGAATAATTTTGCATGCTCTGTACTATTGAATTTAATGTGTGCTTTGGGGAGGTGGCATTTTCTGGGTCTCAAACCCAAGGCCCTGTGCATGCTTGATAGTGCTCTACCACTAAGCTTCCGAGAGCCTCCCGGATGCCAGGAGGGCAGGCATGTAGATGAGCGGGACTGTTCCGGTATTCAATCCTTCACCCACATAACAGGAAATGAAAGTTGTACGAAAATAGCTACTGTTCAAAGGGAAACACACGACATGTGCGAGCAGAGGTATAAGCACAAGTTTTATGTGGATGGAGAGACCCGAGAGAGAGAGAGAGAGAGAGAGAGAGAGAGAGAGAGAGAGAGAGAGAGAGAGGGGGGGGGGGTCCTGTAGAAGTGCTGGGGTGAAACTTGATGCCTCCTTTTTAGAGGACAATTTTCTCCACTTTTCTATGTCAGTCCCTGGCACAGTGCCTCGTGGAGAGATGTCTTCAGGGAGCAAAGGAGGGATGTAAAGCAGTCCCAGGTCTCTACTCTCTCCTCATCAAAAGGGAGAAATCCCCAGTCAGGAAGCAAACTGACCTGCAAAGGCTGGCATGTCCCCTTTTGGAATGAGCCCCAATCCTGAATCTGTGACCTTGAATGAATTACGCAAGGCCCTCAGCTTCCTTCCCTTCTTTAATACAGTGACAATGTGGTTCCCTGGCTTTGTAATCTCAGCTGTGTCCCTGAGGTTGTTAAGCATTTGAGACAAACCGGTCAGATTGTGTTATCTGATTTCAGTGCAGCCAATGTGGTCAAACTTGAAACAGTGTTAGCCACAGCACCAGGTATTTTAGGAGTTCACTGAGATTGCTGCCGATAACGATAAAGTGCAGCTGGTTTCGCTGCCTCCTCCTGATCTCATTCTGTGAAAGTGTGTGGTGGTGAGAGGGAGGGTTAAAAGATCAAAGAGGTTATCCTATGGGGTTTACTGAACTGGGCAAACTGGATTGGCAACCTACATATTTAGGAGAGACAGACTACAAAATAGTTAAAAGGGAGGAAATGAGAAAGAGGTTGAGGGATGATGAGGGGGAAAAGGTGGCTAAATAAAATTACTGGTCCCAATCACAGACATACAATGATCCATTGATTGACTGATTGATTGTACTAGGGATTAAACCCAGGGCTTTTGTCCTGAGTCACATCTCCAGCCCTTTTTTATTTTTATTTTAGGACAGAGGTCTTGCTAAGTCCCTAAGTGCCCCTGCTGTATTCAGACTTGAAATCCTCCTGCCTCAGTCTCCCAGAGTACTGGGGTTAAAGGCCTGAGCCACCATATTCAGCACAGACACATAACTTTTGATGTGGGAAATGGCATGGTGCACATCATAGAAGCAACTCTGTAAAGAAAGTAGGCAGAGAGGGCCGGGGAGCTTCAGACCGACCCAGTTTCTCCCACTATAGAGTGAAGATACTGGTATAAGCCCCAGGCTGCAAGGCTGAAGTCCCTGTGGTTCCGTTGGAAGTAGCTCTGTGATGAGGGATCTCAGGAAAAACAGCAGCTGGAGGAGGAGGTGTAGGCTGACCCGGAGGCTGGGGAGTGCTTCGGGGCCACGGTCAGAGGCCCGTGCGGTGGCGGGGGAGTGGAGGGAGCCGCAGGACCGGAGGAATGGAATGTGAGCTCTCCGGAGAAGCAGGGATGGTGTGGGTTATAGGCTGCTTCAGCTTCCGCAGAACACCGCCACCCAAACTGCAGTCCTAGAAGAAGGAGGGGCGGGGGGCGGGCGAGCAAGCAGGCTGTTTGAGAGCTCCGGGATCCGAAGGCTGTAACCCGCGTGTCATCTGTGCAATAAGGAAGTGGGGTCTGAAGGAAAGTTTCCACTTCTTGTTTCGGAAGCAATTCACGGCCAGGTGGGTGGACGCAGAGCAAAGGGAACCTGAGGACTGCTCGGTGCCACGTTAGACCAATCCAGATGGCTCGGAGGTGCCCAGGGGCTGATGGTTGTGGATGGGTAGATGCCTCTGCTGACCGCTCCCTTGGCTATTTTAAAAAAGAATCCCTCTTTATGTTTTTGTTTTCATTCTTTTTTTTGTTTGTACTGGGGATTGAACTCATGACCTCACCTTTGCCAGGCAGATGAGGCTTATGCCGCTGAGCTAAATCCCCTTCATTCTTTTTTTTTTTTCTTCTTCCTGTACTAGGGGTTGAAGCCAGGGCCTTCACATTGAGCTGTATCCCCAGGCTTTAATTTTTGTTTTTTATTTTTTTAAAATTTTCATTTGAGAGAGGGTCTTGCAAAGTCACTGCATTGCCTAGAGTGGGTTCAAACTTGCTATCCTCTTGCCTCAGCCTCCATGCTTTGATTATAGGCATTTCAACCCCTTGCCCAACTCTGGAAATTCTTTATATAATATTATGTATGTAATGCAGCTGTCTAATGCTTGAAAAACTCAAACGTATTTGTCATTGGGGGTTAAAGTACCTGACACCGGGAAAGGGTCCAGCTTTTAACACTGTGGGAGAATGGGAGAATTTCTTGAAAAAGACTCCTCTCTAGGACCACTGAAGCTCCTGTGACTTGCTTTCTATGTCAGCTCTATGACACTGGCATCGGATTGAAGCACAAATAACATCATTATAAAGCTCCCCCGTTGTAGGCAAAGTAGTGACGCATTTGTGTGGGGTCATCATGTTTTTAATTAAATTCTTCCTTAATATACAAGAAGCTTAAAGTGGTTGGATGTCTTTACACATCCCTCAAATTGCTGGTGGGGTAACCAAATTCTGTCACACTCTGAAGAGTCCCCAGTGTGAGTAGGGAGTTTTTCAGTATTAATGACCTCACCGTACTGGCACTAGGATTGAGATGATAATGTCCTGCCATTGTTTCCCAAAGAATGATTTTTAAAGCTCAGGTTATACAAGTTTAAGAGTCCTGTAAATTAGCCAGGTCAAAAACCAGATAACAAGAAACCAAAATAAAACAAAGAAACTGCTCAGGAAACCTAGTACTTTGTAACTAAGAACAAAGAAACAAAAAAGAATTAGCTGCTTGCAACACTGGCTCTAAATGGATACTATAAAAATAAGCCAATTTAACAAACATTTGTTTTTTTTAGTACACTTTTTCTGGTCGAGTTTTTACCAGAAGGAAAGAACCCAAGTGCTTTTTCAATATAGATATCTTCTAATTAATGCCAAAGAAAATTTTAGGGAGAAATGATGGCAGTTCATTTGCGCAGATATGGGATACTCTCCTGGACGCTGGGTCTGCACGCTGGGGGTGGGGGTGGGGATGGCAGGGGAAGCACTTGGGTAGAGTGGGTTAGTCCATTTGTCTTAGAATAAAAAGAAGTGTGAAAACAGATAGATGGGGTATCCAGGACTCAAGAGACCTAGCAAATCTCCTCCAATAGCAAATTTTCTTTTCTCTTCAATAAATTAATGAATTCTCTTCTCTTTTTTTCTTTCTTTCTTTTTTTTTTTTTTTTTTTGGTACTGGGGATCAAACTCATGACCTTGCACTTGCCAGTCAGGCGCTTAAGCCACTGAGCTAAATCCTGGGCCTCTCTTCTATTTCTTACCAACCTCATCTCCGCACCCCTTTCTTTTTGAGATAGTGTCTAGCTATGCAGTTCAGGCTGGCCTTGAACTCTCCATGTTAGTCTAGACTGACCCTCAAATTCACAGCAGTTCTCCTGCCTCAGCCTCCAAAGTGTTGGGATTACAGGTGTGCGCAACCACACATGGTTTCCCAAATTTTAAACAGTCTACTTCTAGTACTTTAGGAGGCTGAGGCAGGAAGACTGCAAGTTGAAGTATAAAAATAAAAATTAAAAAAAAAATGGCTGGGGACACATCTCAGTGCAAAGGTTAGGTTCAATCTCAAGTACTGAAAAAAAGTCTTTTGTCTACTTTTTTTTTTTTTTTTAAGACTGTCTCACTGTGGGGTGTCTCCCCCAAATTTGGAACTCCTACCCTCATAGAACTTTTCTGCTTCAGCAGAAAGTGGGATTACAGGTTTGTGCCACCTCACTGGGCTTGGTCTACTTTCTTTGGCATTGCTTGAGCCACACAGATTTCTTATCGGGTTAGGAATATTGTGTTCGGCATCTATCTTCACACCTAGGACTCCTTCAGGCTACATTACTGTCTTCCTAAAACTGCAGTGCAACTTATTGCCCAGAGTAATTTCTTTTCCTTTAAAATCTGAAGCATTCGAGGCATTTCCCTCCCTAATCTTTATGTGTTCATGTCTCATCTCCTAGAGCGTAGTCATCAGGATAAGGGGTGCACATCAGCTTTATGTTTATTTTTGCTTGGGAGGAGAATAATGAACATCAAACAATTTTTGACTGAAGAGCAGACATGCCCTGTTCCACCATAACAGCACCACGCAGCCCACATCTTGGTGAGACACGCACATTGGATTTGTTTTTTGCTTCTTTTTGGACTCTGCTTGTGAACTTGACAATTCTTGTTTTAGAATCATGTGCAACGTTTTTGGAGGTAACAGGAGACCGGAAATTGGCAAAGGCCGGCCTGCAGGAGGGCGGTGCTGGCGTCCACCAGCTGTGGCTCGGTGCAGACCCAACACCACGCTGCTGACTCCGGAAACTGGGGTGCAGACAGGTCCTTTATCCGGGCCAAAGCGGCTACAAACTGAGAACTCAGGCTGCCAGCCCCAAACCGCAGAGCGGTTTAGCGTCAGTGACCGCGAATTAGGTGTCAAGATTTCTTGAAAGGGCACGCAGCTCCCACGCGCGTTCACGTGCAGCCGAGTCCGAGTAGGCGCCGACGTGACGTCACCGCACCTGGCACCCGGCGGGCAGAGCGGGGCGGGGCCTGCGCTGGGTGTTCTCGCGAGACCTCCGCGTCGCGCGCGTTCGCACCTTCCTTGCGGCGGTCGCGTCTCCTCAGAAGTGGCGGCGTCCGGACGGCGGGGCTGAGGGGCGGGTTCGGCGGGCGGCGCTCGTGGCGCGAGGGCGGGCGGCGCGCGGTGGATGGAGGCGCCTGCTTGGCCCGTCTGACTCGGAGCGGCCGGACGGCTTGTGCAGCGGAGGCGGAATTCCGCGGGCCCCAGCATGGGTGAGTAAGGGCGTCCCGGTCGAGGTGGGGTGTGGGCCACACGACCCCGGACTCCTGACTCCCAACCCGGCTTCTGACTGCTATTGGGAGTCCAGCTCACTTTCCGCCCCGCCCCCTGTACCCCTTGCCCCTTCCCCCGCCTCGCCGTCACCCCGAAAGTCCGGACAGGGGAAAATCCCACTTGCCGGCTCTTTTGGGGTCGTTTCCGGGGACCCGGGGCCACACCCCGCCAGGCCCTGTCCCGGGGTCGCGGAGCCAGCGCTTCCTGTGTAGCTAGGCCTGGGCCGGGGCTGGACGTTCTGGGTTCTGAAGTTCACTTTGCAGGCGGGGGATCCTGAATGGGTCCCAGGGCCGTGAAAGCAGTTTGTTGAGCGCTGTAGCAGTTCTCGTAATTAAAAGTTCAGCACGGGCTGGATGCGAACCCCCTCGATGCTTTAAAATTAACTTTCTTAACAAAAGTTTTTTTTTTCTTTTTTAAGTTAGATTTGTGCTTCTGTAAGAATAATAAACCAAGTTCGGGGTGGTGGAGCAAATCAGGGGGACGCTATCACTTCTTCCACTCCAGAGTTGGTGCTGCTTCCTATCCACAAAACCATTACCGGAATTAATAATTCATGAAGCTCACAGGATTTAGTGGCAGGGCAAATGCAGAGTACTGCTGATGTGGCATCCGCTGCCCACACTTTGTTTTGTGGAGAATGCGTGGAGCTCAGTGTTTGTAGACACTCGTCTGACTGTTTGGTGTTTTTAGACTTTCTAATTTTATGTTTTCTCACTTCCCTCCTGCTTTAAGGTGCCTTTTACACACCCAGTGTTCTTGGACTCAGACAGTAAAACGAAGTGTTTGCTATTTGGAATTTTCAGATGAATTTCTTTTTAATCCATTAGTTGTTCTTACAAAGTAATTGTGGGCTTACTTTTTTAAGCACCAAATTATAAAACCATTTTAACTCTTTGGGTGAAAATTACACTAAAGTTACATAATTCTTTATCTGTCTTAAATAGGATGGATGTTATAATTAAACTTCTTTTGATGTGCTAATCATAATTCATGACTTTTTAAGTTGCTGTGATGTGCTGAGAATCTGTTGGATGGTATGTTGGACTGTTGATCCAAATACTAAATAACTCCTTTGGTTTTTGAAGTAAAGTGCTTTTTTCCAGCTTTTTCATTGGCTGTGCCTGTAACATGGATTGGTGCCACCCCCACCCAACCCCATCTTGTTTTGTGTTCAGTACCTGTAGTGTGGAAATCACATTCACGTTTATGATTCTACATAGGGGAGAAATCAGCAGGCCATTACTAGAGTATGAGGCGGTAGAGAAAAGTAAATGAACACCAATACTTGAACATTGCAATACCTCTTTTCTTACTGGCTGACCTGTGTTCTAGAGAAGTGAGTTGTCAGATAATCTTGCTGAAGATCTGTGTTAGCATACTGTCAACTTGATTACTCAAGATACGTTTTGAAGATCTGTTATGTGGGATGCTTGTAGTTATTTTTTGAAAAATGTGTAAGATTTTGTCAGCTGTCTTTATTTCTTAGGATTTAAGATGCAAATAATAAAATATTTACATGATGCCTTTACCTAATTTGTCACAGAATGTAAAGCCTCACGTTTATTTGTCTCGAGAGTAATGTGATACCTTTAAGTGATGGTCCTTATTAGATGATGTACATGATGAGCAAGTATCCTCACAGGGCTTCATCTCCTGGATCGTTAAGTGGGAGGAAAGTATCAAACGTAGAAGTTGTTAGGATCGATTGAACTATTGTAGAGTGCTGATAATTTTCATTTTCAAATGATTTCCTTAACTCTTGTTAAGGAATTTCCTTAACTCTTGTTAATTCGAGAACAAACGATTATTTTTGCCATTGTTAGAAGCAGGATATTATTTTTCAGAGATCAATGAAATGAAATCATTTTGCACTCAGAAATTGAGTTTTATGTAATGTGACCATACAAAAATTATTTAGATACTAATATTTTTGTCAGTATTGAATATAATGCAAGAAACTACATTATTTGTTTATTGCTTAGGAAAATATTTTATTGTTTTGGAGAAACTTTCTTTTGTCAATGCTAGCTGAGTACCTAATCCAGGGCCTTATGCATGCCAGGCAAATACCTCTGTGACAGAGCTACATCATCTTCCTAGGGAGAACTCTGAAGTGGATGAATACTAGTAGACACTTAACTTGAATTTTATGTTACACTGATAGTTTTAGTTCTGTTTGTTAACAGGATGCTTATCAAGAAATTTGATGCATCTGTATAATGGAATTTGGAATGACCTTAAAGGTGATAGATAGGCAATATTTATTTTTCTATATTCCAGGAATTTAGAATGAAAGAAGATAGAAAATGGTACAAAATATAACTATGTAAATTTTTACTTTTGAAAAAATGTGTGGATCTTAAGGACTGAATTTCCTAATTTAAAATTTATTTTGCAAGCTTATCTATAGCCAGAGGTGTTGGTACGTGCCAGTAATTACAGCACTCTGGGAGACTGAGGCAGGAGGATTTACCAGTTTTGATGTCTGTCAGGCAACTTAAGCAAGACCCTGAATCAAAATAAAAAATAAAAAGGCTGGGGCTGTAAAGTGTTAAGGCTCTTAGTTCAGTCCCAGTGCTGGGGGAAAAGGCTTACAATTTGCATTTGGTTTATTTTATACATATATGTGTATAACAGTAATTTGTTTTGTTGTTCTTTGGAGAAGATCTTCATTCACGCAAATCAGTAGTTGCAAATAGAAATTTCCTGCCAACCTTTCATTATTAGGATTTACTTCAGTTAAAATAGTGCAAAGCAGGAAAAGAAAAAGGAATATTAAGAAACTTTTGTTTTAAACTTAAATTACTGACCAATCTAGTAATTGTATTCTTTAATTAGAGGAAGCACTCATGATCATATTTTTTTTTTTAATGTTTCAGGCTTTGAATAGTTTTAATTCTGCAAAATCATATTATGGATGGGAGTTAAATTTCTAGTATGTTTTCCTATAGAAATTAATCTGAAGTTTGCTATGTACTTCTTAATGAGGAGTTTTACAAGTAAAATTATGTTATAATAATTTAGTAAGATAATTTTGAGGCATTTAAAATTAAAAAGTTATAAAGCAGAAAGTCTTTTGGTTCATGATATCAATAAAAAATTTCCCTAAAATTTTATATATATCTAACACAAACCAGTGACACCCACCCCGGCTTCCTCTGATGGAATATCTCCCTCTATTAAATATATTTTGAGTTTGATAAAAATTTTATGTGAAGTAATATGTTTGTGTCAAAGGCATGAAAATAGGTTGAGAAAGAATGTCAAGATTCTTGATTTTGGGGAGCGTAGGGCGGATCTACAGACTTGTTTTTTCAATACCTGGGGGACGAATGCTGTGAAAAATCAGGTTTGCAGTGTTTGTGTTCAGAAACGAAAGGACAAATAAAATATAACGTTGAATATTCAATATGATGGAGCTGTGACCTGCTTGTTGTAGGAATTGTTGTCTACTACACAGGTTCAACACAAAGAGAATTCAGGTGCCAAATAATATCTGCAAGTGGGCCGAACATCTTTCTAGAAGAGGTAGGGGTAGAATGCTAGTTTGGGAAATTTAAATGGAAGTTCATATATGCGTGCAGTGGGCAAGTCAGGATCAGAGATAACATTGCAGGATGCAAGAAGATGGAGCTGGTCAGCTTGAGCTTGGACTGACTTGGGGTTGGTAGGTAACATGAGTTAGCGATCAAGCAACTCAGACTGGCATGGTGGGGAGGAAAGGGAGGAAATAGGGTCTGTGAGAGGACTTGAAGACCTAGCCATAGGGAAATGAAAACAGACAGGGCCCAGATTTCTTATGAGCGATACAAGGTAGGTACAGTCATATCTTGGTACTCCAATGTCTTAAAACTTCTTGAATTTTGTACTTCATGCATTTTGACAAAATTTTGTAGTTAGTGGACATTAATAGCTATATCTGTATAATACAAGTGATCTTAAGTAACCTTTGGTTTTAATAGATCCATCTACTTATCTAAATGCTTGAGAATATTCATGGTTATAATCTACCATTCCCATCTATTTATTTGGTCCCAGACAATTTGATGGACCAGCTTTTGCTGTTCTTTTTGTCTGCATGATCCTGAAAGCAGAGCAGGTTGTGAATTTTCGGCATACCTTCTCTTTCAGAAACAAGTAGTATACAACCTCAAGGGTGTTAAGTAATTACAACTGCCAACATAATAGTACATGGGCAAGCAAGGAATAAGAAACGTTAAAGTACTTTTAACTTTTGATCCTTTGGTTTTATTGATATGGTACTGTATTAGGGAAGTTAGTAGAATCTCTCTTGTCTTTCTCTCTTAAAAAGAGTATGCCTTTCCTTTCCAGTCCTCCCCCCGCCCCCACTTTCTTTTGGGTTTGTTAGGTGTTTAGACTGGTTGACAGTAGGACATTTAAATGCTGCTATGAAATGTTAGAATCCCTTCATAATTTTGTGGACTTTTCTAACCTGAGAACATACTACAGTGGTGTATTTTTGAGTCATAACCTTGGTTTTAGCCCCAAGTGAGATAAGCATTTCCTCTTGGCTTCTAAATGTTTCCTTCTTTGGACTAAATTTGACATTTTTTTGTTTGTTTGCTTATTGGTTTTTGTTTTTGTTTATTTCTGAAGGTCACAGGGGCTTGGATGTTCTCTCTTTAACCTGCCTGTTTTTATTGAACTCTGATTTCCTGAAAACATAGTTGTTTCCAGTTAAGGGAATTTTAGTCTACGAAAAAACTCTGCTATAGAAGATCTATTATTTTGAATTGATATATCGCTTAAGATTTTGACAGTTAAAATATTATGACAATGCTATGGAATCCTTTCCTAGAACCTTAGCATGTCATATCTCTTTCAGATTTTGTATACTTTAAACTTTCCACCATGATCTTGTACCTAAAGGGGATATATTCTAGTGTCAGAAATGTTAAAGTATAATAGGAGGTGATAA